TCTCTTACCGACTTCCTTCGACATCTCACGACCTTATACCACTTTGTCAAATTCACTTATCATTCACTCGAAGACGATTTTCGAATAATCAGGTCGATACTCAACACGCGAGTGTATCCCACTTCTGAACTATAAACTTCTATTAAAGAATAAACTAAATAATGGCAGTAGCTTTAATGAATATATATATATTGGGTTTCTCCCGTTCTTCTGTACAACGATCCGTCTTAGCCAACGGTCCGATTTTCTCTCTCCATCGGCCCGGCTCGTCCCTGCAAGGCCAGCCTCCTAAACATCTTGCGTTCTTCGAACCCGAATCGAACGAACTCCTCTCTGCGTTCCGTTACAGTTGCCAATATAATTAAATTAATTCTCCTTCTAAAAGAAGAAGAAAATATTAATCGTGATTATGAGAAAGACCATGCTTTTTTAGAGAAGTTTCACGATCAGTTACACTCAGTAGGCGAAACATTGTCCACACGTTATAACTGGCAGGAAACGATGTTATGCAAAGTTCTAATGTTCAACAATTACTGAATAAGGTACGTGAATTGACAAGGAAACTAGCAACTAAACGACATATATAATTCTAGTTTGAAACATTCGAAAGAATAGTTCTTCTACTACAGGAATTCATAGTGTCACTGAGTTTTTCATACATTTACTTCCTTTATTTTTTATTTCTTTAAAAAGTTCATTTTGTTCCATTCATCAGCTTATTGTATTCAATGGGATGGGCATATTCATGAATGGAACAATGTAACAAAATATAAAGTAATATTAATCTTATAATATTATAAAATTTGCTTTCATCCGAAAATATTATAATACATCATTCCACCACCAGTCTTTGTAAAAATATTCTTTTGCAAAGCTCAATCTTTTCTTGCGATTTGCTTCATTTACGTATAGCTTTCTACGAAGAACACTTTCGTTGTAACCATAAGTTTCTAATACCCGTCGTACTGTGTCGCGAGAGTCTAATAATTTTAGACGACCTTTCTGAGGGATTGAATCGATTCAATCATCACGAATGTACCGACGTGTAATATTTGCTACACTACTCTCGCTTATATTTAATAATTTGGCTATATCTCTGTATGATTTTCCCTTTTTCTTGTGATAGATAACCAATTGTCGGATTTCAAAAGACGTATTTCTTCCTTTTCGTCCCATTTTCACAAGTACGAAAGCGTCTGATATCACCAATAATTTCTTAAAAATTTCACATGTTACACACGAGGTGTCATGCACACTAGAAAATTAAAACGGCCGTCACGGTTAAATTACTTATTATTTCGGGTCCGGAAAATTAGTAAATATTCTTCAGACGTTCTAAAGTAAAGGTGAACAGCGTTTTTCTTAAAAATATCGCTGTTACGTAGTAAAAAAAAATCCGGAAAGTTCTCGCTTCGTGATTTGTTCAATACTTCGAACGCGGCTCGAGTCCGTTCCGACCATCTGTCAAAGCCTCGTGCTACGGACTCTCTCGCGGACTCTCTCTCTCGCACCGTCACCTCTCATTGGCCAGTGTTTTTCGTTAATAACTCGTAAACAAAGCCGCGGATTGCATTTTCGCAAAGGAAAAAGTTACTTCAAATGACCTCAGCTACCCCTCATTTTCGGCTGTTAAAGTAATTGTGGAACACCCTGTATAAATCGGAACGGATCAGGTACGGATCTCTCTAATTGACGCTCAGATTGTCCACGAAAATAAACAATTTAGGACGAAGAGATACGATTACTCGAGCCTTGCAGCTCGTTTTTATAATTGTTAACAATTCGTAATTCCCAAATTGTCCATTTTTGTGGACAATCTGAGCGTTAATTAGAGAGACATTATAGTTGCAGAAAGTCACATTGTCATTACAAAGACCGCGCGCGCATGTGAAATATGAATCAAAATGATTTATATATTTTCCATAACTACGATACTAAATAATGAGAAAAAGACATGACAATTATAATTGTTTCAATAAAAGTCTTGATTTATTCAAATTAAATGTATATTACTATCGGATCTAAGCTGTTATCCGCTTCTCCCATTTTTATTAATAACTTGGATATTTCACGATATTTAACAAAACAGTTGTACTTCAGTAATTTTAGATAAGTAGGCAACATGCTCATACCAGAATCGTCGTTATAAATGCAATAGTTTTTATGTAAACGTATTTTTAAGTCCGAATGTAATAACCGAGATCTTTCTCTCTCTCTCTCTCTCTCTCTCTCTCTCTCTCTCGGCTCCCCATACTAAGACCTAAATATAGTATATTACCCAAATGAATTAAAATTATACAAGTGTTTAAGTGTGTAGTGGTACCGCGGAACCTAATTTTCGTGCTCTCGGTTATGATGCACTGAGAAATGCGGGGAGATAAGAATTAACGGCCTATAGTGTAGATTCTAGAGTACTGCCGATGAGGAACGCAATTGTGACCTTTGTGTTTGGATCGCTCCAAAATCCCAACGGGTATGTGTGAGCGCTTGTGTATGTGTCGGCGATCACGTCAAATCGATCGCTTAGGTACGATCCCGAGCTCCCTGCTTCCAGAGGAAAACAGTATTCAACCAGGAGATGTACAAGGGTTTAAGGTATCTTTTAGGGTTCGAACTGCTAGTCTCGATTCTAGTTAGCAGCTTTCACCTGCCACGTAGAGACAGGAACGAAATTGGACAGGTGAACCAGGGGTATCGCAAGCGACCACGTGTTTAAATACGGTTCTTTACCGGTACTGTCATCTTAGTCAGGCGGTCTCGTCACTCTAGTAACCAGTCAACGATTTGTGCCACAAGGGTAATTCTTTTAAGGGAAAACCCCCTGGATATCCGAGGGCCCAATGCATCTGGCCATAACCGAAGCGATTGCCTAGCTGTAATTCTTGGCTTTCTGAAATCAGCTGAGCGGTAATTCCACCGTGTTAAAAGTATATAAGTACCGCGAACATGAACCTCACCGCGTGGTATTTGAGCGTCCCAATCACACACACACACACACACACACACACACATGCGTTGTAGTTGTTACAAGCCGAAAGCCAGGCAGGTTTGCATGACCACAAAAGTTGGATGCAATTTTCAAATTTTGATAAGAGAATTGTGTGGACTTGTCGAAGCTTCTTTTATCAATGGGTCGCCACTAAGTTAGAGGAAATTGCGCTGATTAGCCAATACTTCTTTCATCACCGGGTCACCACTAAGTTTAAAGGATATTTCGTGGACTAGCCGATGTTTCTTCCATTACTGGGTCGCCACTAGGAGGTAGGATGGTAGAAATTGGAGTTTGGGGCCTCGCAACTTTTACAAAGAAGAAATGAAGATACACCTCGAGCGGTAAAGATGTATCGCTGTGAGTTGTATCAACCTACGAATCATGAAATAGAATAATTTGACAATTGATAGACTGGTAAAAGATAATATATTATAAGCTTTCAGTCTAATACAATTGTATGTGTGTGACAGTAACGTGTAACTATGATGATCCCAGTTTAGGTAGGTGAGATCTTATAACCTTGTAACGATGTACGTACTCGGTTGAAATGCTTAAAAGAGAATCAGACTCAATCTCGCTAGCGTTCCTTCGTCAGTAACTGACTTGAAACTAAGTCTATTTTTTAGTCGCACTTGGGGCCTTTATATACCCAAAATTTCCTTAAAAAATGGTAGTGGATGTGTTCATATATGTCCCGGTTCCAGAAGATTCGTTTTCGTATTCTTTTGAAGGTATTTGACTCACGATATTCAGAGCGAAGCCCACCGGCTGGTGTCAGCCTGGCAAACGCCTTTAGGAAGGAGTAAGAAAAAACACGTCGGAAAATTCTCCGAACGTTACATAGTATTAACAGTTAAAAATACCATTTCCCTTGGTCGACGGATCGACCGCATTCGAAAAAGGGTTTTCTGCACTTTTCACATAGCAGTCGCGATTCGACGGCCTGTGTACATTTGTAATTTTGTTTTAAAAATAAACGCGCAGGCAATTTTCTTGTTTGTATTGGATGTTAAGATACGATATAATAATTTGTAGTTAGATCCACCCCTTCACGGCAGGGTATTTTACGTCCGCCGTTCTAACACCCTGTATACTGTCAAAATGGGTCTACAGAATGGTGATGGGAATATTATTCTCAAAAAATGAATTAAAAGCAATGCTTATATAAGTGGTGTCTAATTTTTCACTTCGTATTTCGCATTTTTTATAGCATATTCAGCAACGTCAAAACAATACGAATGTCGATTTTCATAAAAATCGAATAAAATTATTAATTGAGATCAACATTTGAGGAAAGCTACCACTGTGAGTCAGGCCTTAGTGAGTCACACTGACAAAAGTACAGTCGTCTCGGAAAGTACGTTAACGCCTTTTCAAGCAGAATAATATTTTTAAAATTGGTTCAAAGGAGTTGAATATTATTGAGATGATAAACCGACCAGTTTTCTATGCAACGAGTATACAAAATGTTTTTTAGATTACAATTGATTGTGTGTGTGTGAGATGATAAAAAAATTAAAATATATTTTTTTAACTTTTTCATCTGAGCCCATAACGAAAATTTAAAAAATGCATTTTGCAGATCTCGATAACTTATAAGAAGGCTGAATTTTATCGAACTCGGTTGACCTTCACATGAGCTGTAAGCAATTAAAGATCGCAAAATCTCACGAATTTCAACCAAAAACAAGTAATTTTTACATGTTTCAGTGGCTGTAGCTTGACCGTGAGTCTATCGATTTCGATGAAATTTTCAGCATGCATATAAGTTACCGAGATCTATAAAGTGCATTTTTCAAATTTTCATTACAGGCTTAGATTAAAAAGTTGAAAAGACAACAGTTCTTAATTTTTTATCATCCCAATCAAGTGCAATCTAAAAATCTTTTTGCATACTCAATCCTTAGGAAACTAGTCGATCTAACATCTCAAAGATAGTCAAGTCTTTTGAACCAATTTTGAAAAAGTTATTCTGTTTAAAAAGGCGTGAACATACTTTGCGAGGTGAATATAAGTAGTTGCGGTCAGCTTCAAGTGCTGTGTGAAATAAAGCAGAACGATGATTAAGATGATGTCGTCGTCGATAAGTCGTGGTCAAAGGATTGCCAGGGTGCGGTCAGGTCTTGGAAAGGTTACTATAATTCGTTCGTTCAGTGACGCGCTTCTAGAAGCCGAGGTACCCGTGCGATGTCGTTCCCTAGTGTCTTGTCAAACATCTAAAGACTTTAAGATTTGTGATTAAATCGTCGATTACTGAAAGAGAGAGACCGAGAAAAAGAAGCAACGAAAAGGACACCACAGAAAAATGCAGTGCCGCCACCGACTATTTTTCCTTGCTGTCGTTCTTATCTCACAACTTTGTAGAGGTAACTACGGCTGTGCCTGTTTGTGATTTTATATTTCTATGTTCATCTAAACAACGATGCAGAAAATTGGATACTATTCCCATTGCATTTCTATACATGGTAGCTTATTTCGATGGAGACACTCGTCCTTTCTTACCCTTTGCTGGCAGCCCGCTTCTTATCGCAGCTTCCTCGTATGATCACCTTACTGTAAATATTCTACATGCAAGGACACGTGTTACACACTAGTGTAAACTAGAAGATTTTGATTAATTCATACACACACAAACATAGGTCGCTTCGGGAAGAAACTTTAACTGAATTCAAAATTAAGCAACTATTTCGAAATTTAACGGTACCACTTGAATATTTTTGAGACGTTGGAAAGACTAATTTACTAGATGATCTGTAAACAAATTTTGAAACATTCGATCATGCTATTGCAGTTACTGTTATCGAATAAAATGAAAGCATTATTGATTGTATTTAACTCCTTGCATTACACGAAATCATTCTTATTTAGTAGATCCATGAATCACAACTCTGACTAAACAAGAATGATATTAATTTTTCTAAATGTAACTAGAGTTGTATTTTACTAATATTAAAGTCTAGAGAAATGAAAGTAAATGAAGATATACAAGAAACAAAAATTGTCTCGTTCTAATATCATCGTAGAGGTCACAACGAAAGTCAATCAGGCCTTGCGAACTTCAGAGAAGTTATGATAGAATTCTTCCCGGTTAGACCGCTGAAATTGTACAATAGAATACAATGTAGACTCGAGGATATTTTAGTCTTACAGGGCACAGTGCAAATACATATAGGGTAGGCCTGATGTATGACATGATCTTTAACAAATCAATGAGTAGATAATTAGATAAATATGTAGGCTTTTGAAGTAGGCTTGGAGTTACAATCTCAAATACGAATAAAAGAGTTGAGTATATATAAGGTTGCTTAGAAATACAATCAACTGAAAAAATTTTATCAATTCTGAGATGAAAACAGTTTCAAGTAGATATGTTTGCTTCGCATTTATTGTTACGGGGAAGCCATAAAATGTTTTGATTTCTAATAAAACTATGCAATTCGCAATGTGAATTATTGTTGAAAAACGAACAACGGACACCATGGACAAACTCTGTGATGTTAATTCATTTCTACATGTACTTATTTGCCTCGTGAAACGAGTCTGATAGCTGATAAGGTGTGCTATCTGTAGAGGAAAGAAAGGACTTCCTTAGTACACAAACGCAGGCACGCATTCTTCGCACATACTAAGGCAAAAGTGATACTTTATTTTTCTCACTTAAAAACTATGGTATAAACCGATTCCTGCAAGAAAACGACAAAATAATGAAAGTTGAATGTAATTAGATAAGTATTGACACTATAGTGTGTGAAAATCAATTTAAAGTAGATTACTTTAAAATATGTTCTTCATACGAAAATGTTGTCAAATAAAGACTCTCGTAGCTTTATGTATATGTTAAATGAAACATTCGATGTTCCTGAAATATTTACAACTAGTTTGTATTGAACGATAAACCTTTGAGGCACCTCTGAATTTTCCTGTATGTATCTCCATTCGGTAAGTAAGATCGCGAATTTAGGGATTTATGAGAACACTGGACCTCCTATCCCAGACTAAAGATGGGCAAAATTTTTATTCGACACTATCAAATAAATGTTCAATCGAATACAAATTTATCTAGATACAAATTTATACGAATAAAAATGATAGAATGTAAAATGTTCTTTCATAGTTTATCAATTTATTTTTTCCATTTTACTTATTCGAATTATTCGAATAAAATATTCGACCAAAAGGAATTCAGTTGGATAATTATCTTGGATGAATATTTATTCGAAGCAATCCAAATAATGCTGACATCTGTCCCAGCTACCGGATATCCTATAAATTGCTTCGTGTGGATACGTTTACGCATAAATCACTACGTATTTACGTTATTATGATCACTCACCTAACTTTTATTCGTCTCTTATTCGTATAATTACTATTAACCACAGTATAGTGTTATTGCTGGGATAATATTTGGAAACGAACGAACGAAAAAATTATTTGTGAAAATTTATTTATTTATTTAATCTACTACATGCATCGTAGCAATTAATTACATTTTGTCATTAATCGAATAAACTTCTTTTGCTTGTTTCCAGAATCAACGGCTCTAAAACGAAGTATAGCACCGGCAACTGTCCAAACTATTAGAAAAGAAGGCGAGTCTTTGCCTTTACGGCTACTATGCTCCGACCTGGCGAACATTTTCTTCATGTATCCCATTAACGTAATTGATGTAAGCAATGAAATAATATGATAATATTATCACCACAAAGTAATGAAAGTGATTGTAACATACATATGCTTTAATAGGAGGGTTCGTTACATATCTACAATTCAATACACACCGAAATGAAGAAAACCCAAGATCAAAATGGTACCTACTGGTACGATTTTCGTGGACTGTATACAGTCTTTTGGAGCAGTGATCTCTATAGTTGCTCATATAACACAATTGAGATCACCATACGTAATTATTCCGACCCAAATTTTCGGGGCATGTTTGTTCAGACAAACTGTGAGTGTATTTCAGATTTCTATTAAACTGCTAAAATTTATGCAACAATTACGTAAAATCACAGTGCCAACTAGGAAGATTCCATTAAGTACTATGATATCTAGTAATTAAATATAGTAATATAACTATATAGTAATTAAACTATTATGTTTCAGCTGAAACGTTTCGGTATAGGGAACTACCACTTTCTGAAACTTTAGTAGCATTTGAAGGCGAAAACATTGTCATACCATGTAGACCAACATCGCCGATAGCGGAAGTCAGGCTTTCATGGTACAATCAAGTTGGTATTTGATTGCTTAAAACATTTTCTAATATGAAGAAACACCACATTGAAGCTAAAAAACGTTTCATCAAATTATCTAAGAAGATAATATTTATTTGTTCGGAACTTGAATACATAGAATATTAGGAAAGTTTTCAAGAACGATATTTTACATGTGTCAAGAAAAAGATTGGCATTCCTTTGTCAAGTCATTGAAAAGATAAATTGTTCTTTGTTATGTATAATTGCTTAGACTTCACGGTTGATAATATGTGAATTTAATCTACGAAATGTCATTTATTAAAATATATTGTACAGTATTTCAAAGAAGATGGCTTGCGATTTTCTTTCGATCCAAACTTTGGATTTACGCTGTACAAAGTCAGGCCACATGACCGAGGTTTCTACAAGTGCAAAATCGCTACTGATCAACAGGTCGCTTATCGTGTAATTGTACGGGGTAAGTAGACCTGTTGGACAATGATCATTTCATTGTCAGGTTATTATTACAAAACCTTCATCACATTTCCATGTTACAAATGTATCTTTCCTTCCATTTAGCATTCGTTTCATGGTATCTTTTTACTATTTTGCTTCGACAAATTTTTAATAAGAGCAGATTTTAATAGTTAGTTTTATTTAGTTTTATTTATTTTTAATAGTTTTTATTTAGCGTTCAATAAGATTATCTAGACATAAATATACTTTACTACTATTACTACTACTATACTATACACTTTAAATTCTAAAATACATAGTATGGGTCTTTTGAACGTAATGGAGACATCAATTTATTCTCAAATGGTCCCTAATACAGTACAGTAAATTCTCTCTAATTGGCGCTCAATTTGGAAACAAAAATGGACAATTTGGGAAGAGAAGGTATGATTATTCCAGCCTTGCAGTTCGTTTTTATAGTTGTTGACAATCGGTAACTGTAAAAACGAGCCGCAAGGTTCGAATAATCGTACCTTCTCTTCTTAAATTGCCCATTGTTGTGTACAAGCTGAGAGTCAATTAGGGAGAATTTACTGTACATTGAAACGACGCGATGTGCGGACATGAACCCAACTATAAACCGACTTTGTCTAGAGTCCCTGATTGTTTCTTGGATCTTCAGTTTGTTCACGGTGTCACCTTATGCTTTTTACATTCCAGTAGACTCCCACATAACGCGATAATGCGTTACGGATTGTAAAAATTCATGTTATAGGAAATCATGTCAGAAGAAAATTATTTTTTTATAACACGGATTATATTGTCATCTTGTTTGAAAGCAACATCTTTTTTCGTATAAATTCATCGAAAGAAAGAATTTAAGAACTTCCGTAACCAAATCGGAACGACTGGAATGACTGGAAAATAAATCGGAATGACTGTTTTGTACCGTTCATCTTTGATCATTGTCTGAATCGTCTGAAGTTACATTCTAATATCGTCGTTCCACATTTGGATTTTATTACAAACCGTGTTGGGTCATAAACCATAATGTGTAAAAACGGTGATTGCAAAATTTTTGGCGTGTTAAAGGAATCCATGTTATAGAAACTAGAATTACACGGGAGTCTCCTGCATGTAGAGATAAAGATACAAACGTGGGATGTTTGGAAAAGAGATAAAGTTTTAAACTATTTTCAAACCATCTTTCTAGATTTTATTACCACGCGAAAAGGTTACTTAGTGCAAGGATGTTGATCTTTAATTTATTTTTGAATGAAAGATGGGAGATTGACTTTTTATTCTAGATAAAAATGGATAATTGAAATATCAAATTTTAAAGACGTTGGAAGAATTTATGAATCTTGTCATAATATTTTCATGTTAGTAAAATCATGGGGAAAAGAAAGTTACATGGCTCTTTTCATTCTTATGTTTCATTCTTACAATTTATATAGATGATTAAAGAATATTCTTGAAAGAATTCATTTATTCTCGAAAATCGTTGAAAAAGCAGCACATTTTTTCAGATTTGAAAAATATTCGTTTTTCACGAAGATCTACAGTTTTATAGTAACTTATTCAACTATTAGAAAGAACGTAGACCTTGATTTTACTTGGATTCCATCTCAAAATGTTTCGAAGCCTTCTCTACTTACTCATCGTTTATGACATAGAACTTTGCTATACTTATGCCATACTTTCTAACAGCTATACTGTGATTGAAAATATTTTAGATGTAGTCGGGGAATTCGGTGTTATTCCCACGAAGAATACAGTGGTAGAGGGCGACGAATGGGAGCTGATCTGTGCTGCTTCGATTTACAATTATTCGGACACCTTCGATTGGAGCAGCGAAAAGGGACTGATTGTACAATCTGGTAACTCTATTTTCGATATTCACATTAATAACGTATTAAACAATTTTCTTCTCAATAATTAATTTTTAAAACAAGTATAGATCAATGATGAATTGAAAGAACCGAAAGTAATTTGTTGAAATCTTTAGACAAAATCTTTATCGATCGAGAGGAGACTGAATTCACGTATAGATCAATTTTGAAAATACACAACGTGACAATGAAAGACTCGCAGCAATATATTTGTACAGGGAAGTCCATGAAAAATATGTCTCGGTCTATTAAATATCGTTTGGAAGTGAAAGGTAAATTCCTTTTAGATTTTAGAAATGTAAATTCCTTTTAGATTTTAGAAATGTAAATTCCTAAAAATGTCGAAGAATGAATTGTTGAATAATATTTACGTTTTAGCTGCACGAGCGCCTGTTATTACCGATACTAATTTGAAAAAAGGCGACATAATCATTAACGACAATACCCGTGATCGCAAAAAAGTAGTTCTTAAGTGCTTCGCGGATGGTTTACCTAAACCGAGCATCACTTGGTTTAAGGTAGGCGATTACTAGTTAATTAATTTCTGAATCAGACCAATACTTCACCGTATATATTTCATTTAACATTTTTTTACTTCGCTATATTCGGAAATAGATTTTAATGCAAGTTATTAAAAATCAACATACTTTTGACAGGATGGTGCCCAGTTGGTTATTGATAATGAAATGTACAGGTTTCTAAATGATTCCCAAAAACTTGAAATAGAATATCCGTCGGATATTTACAGCGGTGAGTACATGTGTCGAGTAGAGAATCGTATTGCAAAAGTAGAAACTTACCAACGAATAACGATAAATGGTAATTTATTTAATTGTGAAGTACACTGGCGGTAGTAACAATTTGACTCTAAACTTTTTTTTATTTACAGGGAAAGGAGTACCAATAGTTCTGATCGTTTCAGTTGTCGTGTTAACAGTGGTCGTTGTGATGTTGGTAATCTACCTCTTAATTAGGATTTTTCGTAAAAGGGTAACTTCAGTTTGTGATGTTCCGCGATGGCATTTGATTCAAGAACAATTTGACCAATTTTTATGGTGTTGTAGATAATGAGAAAGTAATGAAGCAGATCTTCTCCCTTAAGATAACAAATAGATACTTCCTAGGGAAAAGTTGAGAATTATTAATGTAGGTGCCATTAAACGTTCAAATCGCGACGGTGTTGTCGCCGAAAACCAATGTACAGTGGTTTCTCCGGATTTACCGAATTTCAGTATGCTCTGGTTTGTACTTGTAATATTACTACTGCACTGTAATTTTTCGATTTTCTCGCTACGCCGATGCTAAGGTTCGACGGAATCGGTAAACACATGTGCTACGACACGCGACTCAGCTCCTTTGACACGATACCCGAAAGACAACTCATAAAATAATGACATAACTTTTTTTAATTTTAATATTTTAAAACTGATTTTTTTAACACATTTCTGGTAGTTTTCTGATTAAAATGAGACTAAACATGATATCATTTGGATAAATATTTCTGATTTAACCCTAGAAAGATAACCATATGACAACGTACGTAAAAGATAACCATACGCTTCAGAGGCGCATGCTTTTCTAAGGCGTCAATTTTATACTAACAATGGATATTTATTTAAGTTAATCTAGTCATTTTAAAGGTTTGGCATTATTGTAAAAATAAAATGTATTTATATTATATTTTTTTATATTTTAAGTAATTTTAAACTTAAATCACTAGACCTCTATGAAAAATTAACAAAAATCAACAGTCTTCGCAGGCGCCTCTGCGACGTAGGTTATCTTTCTCGGGTTAAATAAAATCAAACACGATATAATTTCGATTACTTTCATTTATTTAATATTTATTGTGTAATTCATTTTATTGCATTATCGCTGTGACTACATAAGAAAAATACATTGTTATACATATAAATAATAACTGTATAGTGTATTTCTAATATACTGAAGTAATCTATCGACCACAAGTGTCATAAGCTGTATTAAAGCTGCACTGATATTATATAATACATAATTATGCATATACTAATTAGATACGTGAAAAATTCTATATTGAATTGTTTTGTGGCGTATCATTCTTGAAATCGTATAGTATCATGGCCTACGATGATGATTTTCCTCTATTTTTTAATAACAAATAATATTAAAAAAATTTATTTATAAATAATTCATATTCAAATTTCCTTATCCAAGCAAAATAATGCTCTTGCACTATGGGATGTCATTGGCTCGAAGGCCTTACGTAACTGATTGTTCATAATCCCATAAAAAATCATTTGATTTAAAATTCAAACAGTAAACTGTTCCTTCACACTCTCCATCAAACGCGTAAGCTCATTCCACCGAATCTTCGTCAAATCGTGACATGGAATTGTAGTCAAATCGTTGCTGGCTCCTCGTAATTACAGTCGAATTGTCGTCGACTCCTCGTAATTACAGTCGAATTGTCGCCGACTCCTCGGAATTACAGTCGAATAGCGTAACTCCACTAATATTTTTTTTTAACGACATACATACCTTCTTTAACGCTGCCTTTAATATTTTTCTAATGCTTTTTTTGTTAGAACTACAATTTGTGTAATAAAATAAAATAAGTTACTTGTTATGAATAGTAAATAAATATGGTCTAAACTATGTGTTTGGTCTCATTTTATTCATGAGACACAGCAGCGTCTCGCGCCAAGTAGTTGAGTGGCGCGCAACGCTAGGTTGCATATCTTTTCTTTGATCAAAACAGCCAAAAATTTCAATAGCAATTTATTCTTTTAAGCCATATTGTATTCAATTTTATTGTTACTCAACTTTTTATTTTAAAATTGTATTAATTTTCCCAATTATTAAATGTCACGGTGTGCGTATAAAAAGTTGTCAAACATGTCAATAGAGACAGAAATAGCTGAAATATCGAGATATCGATTTTTAATTTTCAGCTACATATACTGCATATACTATACACTTTTGTGGCTCTCACGTTTTTGCTGGTAGATGCCAGGTAGCTTCAGTTTAATGCTCAGCTTCAGCCAAGGTTTACATAGAATAGGAAGCTTGTCTAGTAATCAATAGCAACTAAAGTGTCTAGTGGAAGCGAATGCATGGCGGACATATTGTTATACACCACCATGTAGATGTCAAAATCCGTCAAATTTTGAAAGAATAGGTTACAAAATATAATGAAAGCTAATAGTATAGGGGTCCCAATTAATGATACATTAAGAATATTTTTTCGTTTATTTTTATATTATTAGCTGAAATTTAGGTTAAAATGAATTTCTTCTTGCATTCCATATTGTTTATTTCTCTGGTTATCCAATTAAAAATTGTCAGAGCGTTAAAGATTTAAATTTTGTATAAAATACATGAAAAATGATTTGAATGTATTTATTCTAAATTAGCTTTCTCATAATCTATCCAACTTAAATAATTCTATTAAAGTATACATATAATTTGTTTTAAGGATAGGATATGAACAGAGCCGGTACTTCCATAAATTTATACGTTACACATATTCATTACGGTATGTCGATAATACGATAAGAGCTCGAAAATGTATACAGTTATAATATTGCTCTATTTATTCTACAAGTGTTTAAGAAATGTTAACGTTTGTGCTATCTTTATAAAATTTTGTAAGTATAAAATATTGTTTTTGTTAAATAGTAATTATGACATCCACATGGGTTGGTGACGCTGCCTGTATGAACGGATGAATGAGGTTAGGTTAGATCGATGCAGAGCGAAGTTTGGTATGAAGTGGTATGGTGAGAAAAGCTGAATGACAAAATAATCTGAACTGTTACAATTTAGATAAAAGTTTCCTATATTACTAATAGTATGTATACCTCATTACAAATAAATATATATCGAATTGTAATTATTGAAAATGCAACAGTTCAGTGGATTGAAAATTAACTACTTACAGGTGCAATCATTTATAAAATTTTGACCACTCTACACGATAAAATAAACCAATATGTACAAATATTCCAGATAAAAATATTATATTTGCAGTGGAAAAATGCCGACAATCTAAAGGATGGAAAGATAATTTTCAACAAATTAACTCACAAAAAACCTTCACATCAATGAATTCATCCAAACGAGCATCCAGAGAAGATATTATAATTCAAAACAATTAATCTCCCAAAGAAGCACACAAATGTTATTAATAATTCCTTCAAAACATCGAGAAATATTAATTCTATCTATCCCCTTAGAAATGCTTTTAAATACAAAAAAAATAAAATATTAATTTACAGATAAACCTCTGCAAATGTAACACTTCGAAAGGATATAAATGAAAGACTCTAATTAATGATTTTCTACACATCATTCACAAAAATACACAGTAATAACAAAAATAAGTGGAATCCGCCCCCCCCCCCAAAAAAACATTAGCAATGCAATGTAAAAACACCAAGTACTTGAATTCGATTTGATTCTGGTGCCCACAAAATGTTTCCAACAAATTAACCCACAAAATCCTCCATATTAATGAATTCACTCAGACAAGCATAGAGAAGATAATAATCGAAAACATCAAATTCCTCAAAGAAGCCTTCAAAAGTTTTTATCGAACCTCCAAGAGGTTATTAAAAAAACTCCAAGAAATGTTAATCCTCTCGTCCCCAAGAAATGCTCCCAAATACAAACAATAAAAATTAATCCACAAAAATACTCAGTAAAGTATTAAACTACGGGTGGGCATAAAAAACACTCGAAAAAGTATATACATATTACTGAAATAGTACTGAAATCAAAAGTATTTGATCCGTTTCTACAGTGTGCTCCATAATCAGATAATTAGAAAATCACGATAAAATATTTTAAACGAATTCACTTTTAATGAATACTTGGAAAAAGTGGAAAAATAATACCTAAGATGGACTTGGCAGTCCATTTTTATCAAAATCGGATAGTTTATTTGTAGCATCATGTGTAAGTGATCACGATCACTGCAAAAACGGAGCAACTACTTTTGGTTTCAGTACTTTCTTCGAATGAAATTAAATTGTAATAAATATTTTTTGGAGTGTTTATTTCCGAAGTTTAACATTTTACTGAGCTTTTTCGTGGATTAATATTTCATTTTTTATATTTAGAAGCATTCTTTGGAGAGAGAAGAGGGTTAATATTTCTTGGAGGTTTTTTAGAAGTTCATTAATAACATTTGAGCACTTCTTTGGGCTATTAGTTGTTTTCCATTATTATCTTCTGGATGCTTGTTTCAGTGAATTCATTAATGTAGAGGTTTTATGTACGTTAATTTGTAGGAAATTGTTGAGAGAATAATTATTTACTTAAAAGACAGACCGAAGAAATCTGCAGAGAAAAGGCATGAATACAGACGAGATTTGAAGTCATTTTTCATCATCATCCAGATACTGTATAAAAATTGGAAAAATCACCAGATTGCCGGTACATTATCTAAATTTCAGTTATAAATAGTTGGCTCAAATAAAGTACAAAAATAAATCACGATGCGAAAATCACTATCGATGAACGTAATTAATAGATACTTTACGCGAAAGTGTTTTACATTTACCATAGATGGAGAT